GGTTTCAGATACCCTTCTCCTATAAATGGGTTTGATGAGCAAGCATTGTACCCTAACTTCTCCTTTGTTCTCAAGATGAGCCAGAACAAGATGATCCCCAAGGAGATGAGACTCTTGATCCCTTGGCTCCTTTGCTATATTGGAAAAACAGAAATGGATGGCTATTTGAAGGGAAGATGTTTTTAGCCACTGAGATTGTATCGAAAGCCTGTGAAGAAAGAGATCAGTGGACATAGGCTCAGATAGTGGAGAATGTAGTTTAGGCTGAACAAGAACCGTCTATACTGGACCAAAGAAGCCGATGGAAAAAACCTCCTTCAGGATGGGTCAAACCAAATTTTGGGTGGAGCATGGGTTCTTAGAGATGAAAGTGATAAGGTCTTAGTGCACAGCCGTAGATGTTTTGTTAAGCAAAGATGTGTAGAGGAGGCCAGACTTTTGATTGTATTGTGGGCCATTGAAAGTATGAGTTTTCATAAAGTTGACAAGGTAATCTTTGGCCTTCAGTTTGCGGATTTGATAGGAGCGGTAAACAGACCGAAGGTTTGGCCTTCTTTCAGCTTTGAATCCGGTGAGATACTTAAAGTTTTGAGATCGTTTACAAGGTGGAAATTCTTTTTGGAAATCAAACAAACGAATAGAGGAGCTTTTCTCATTGCCCTTAATGTGATTAAAGAGGTGAGAATCAATTCGTATGTCTATGTGGGTTCTCCTCTTTGGCTTAGGGATCTTTTTGTTAGTGAGAATGCCTAATCCTCTTCACTTCGTTTTCTTTGAATTTTTTGGTGTAAATAGTAGTATGGGGATGGTCTTTAGGACCCTTTGTTCGATTCCTCTTTGGTGCAGAATGACCCTATTTTCTTAATAGGTTGGTCTTCTGTTGTACTTGGTTTGTTCCACCTTTCGTATCAATATATTTGCACTCAGATGCCCAAAAAAAAAATCGTATTATTAATCGAAAAAATACGTTTCGGGCGTCCGGCATCTTTTATTTTATCTTATCCAA